CATATACCACAGGTGTTAGTGATACAATTCCCTAGACACATATACCACAGGTGTTAGTGATACAATTCCCTAGACACATATACTGCAGGTGCCAGTGATACAATTCCCTAGACACATATACTGCAGGTGCCAGTGATACAATTCCCTAGACACATATATCACAGGTGTTAGTGATACAGTTCCCTAGACATGAATACCACAAGTGCCAGTGATACAATTCCCTAGACACATATACTGCAGGTGCCAGTGATACAATTCCCTAGACACATATACTGCAGGTGTTAGTGATACAATTCCCTAGACATATATACCACAGGTGTTAGTTATACAATTCCCTAGACACATATACTGCAGGTGCCAGTGATACAATTCCCTAGACATATATACCACAGGTGCCAGTGATACAATTCCCTAGACACATATACCACAGGTGCCAGTGATACAATTCCCTAGACACATATACCATAGGTGTTAGTGATACAATTCCCTAGACACATATACCATAGGTGTTAGTGATAATATCTTTTTTTTTCAGGTTGTATGAGAATAATGATGAGAGAACTTCAGAAGTTGTCAACAAACTTAAAAAACAATTGAGGGAAAAGGAAATGGTGATCACAGACATTCGTCTGGAAGCTCTGACATCAGCTCAGCAACTCGAAACTTTAAAAGAAACTGTCAACAAAATGCAGGTACATAAATATAACTTAGTGTATTGCTTCTAGTTTGCTCTTAAAACTTAAATATATGTTATATTACTTAAATTGCACTGTTTTATGTTAGCATATATTGCCATTCCAGTAATTCCTTGATCTTATTTCATACCAGATTGTGTGCTTTTTAATTTTTTCATGTCTTTTCATTAAAAGTGTTTATTTTACAGTAATAATTGAAAGACACAGCAAATGTATTGTTTGATATTTCTTTCATATAAGAAGTATTTGTATAATACCCGACAATAATGAGCAATTTGTTACTTTTTACTCTTGTTAAGCTTCAGTGCAGGTGTAAGAAGGTAGAAATTTCTAGAAAAATCACTTCATAATATAAGTGAGAATTAAAACAATTTGGTAAGCAAAATGAAGATCATAGGTTTTTTTTACCCCAAAATTGTTCTTTTGATGTAATTTGTATTTACTTGTGCTTAAATAATGGGTAATAATAAATACATGACCCAGACTATTATTTACACATAGTTTTGAATTAGTATAGAAACTGAAAGTAACTAAAATACTATCTAAAATTATATTTTGTTAAAGTATGAATAATAATATTATTGTTACTTAATATAACATTATTTAAGCTTTGCAATGGTGCATGTAGGTAGATACAGAAAGCTCTTTTTCAAGTCAATTAAATCCTAAAAATCAGGTGTTAAATTCTTACTCCCAAAGTGCAAAATGGGAGTGTTTTAGTTGTGTTTTATTTAGCTAATTTACTACCAACTGCAAGAAACAAATGTCATCCATTCATTTATGTGACAAGTTACTCTCTTTAACAGCAAAAATAATGTATGAAACATTCTTGACTTGCAATCATAGATAATTTATTTATGTAAAAGATGAAGTAAGCATGAGATTTTTGAATACTGTTATATCATTATAATTATCAGAAAATTCCCGTTTTAATTTTTGAATTTAGATAAATATCTTCAGTATGTTAAGATATATGGCACTGGCCCTTTTATTTGCTCTTGAAGAAATTTTCAGCATAAGAAAATTTTTATTTTTTCTGAATCAGAGATAGAATAGTCATTTCATTAAGTAGCATTTTTTACATTATTCTCATGTAATGTTATATAAACTTTTATTATTTGTCAAAGTAAATTAAATATTTATTTCATAGCAGGTATCTATCATCCAACAGTTAATTTTATATAAAATATACCTGTGAAGATGATATAAAATTAAAAGTACATTCTGTACTTATTACATTTCTGTACATGTATTAAGTTTCTAACTGTCACAAAGAGATCATTTATTTGATGTAAATGTTTTAATATTGTTATATGCTTTGGTTTGGAGCTTTTACTTTTTATCAGTTGAAGTGACATACTTTTTAGAGTAATCATATATCAGTTTCATTATGATTTGAAAAATGATATATAAATATATATTTATTTCATCATCTCATTTGCAGTTTATTAAAAGTATAGGAATCACCTTTAATGTTTGAATGACAAATACCATGTGCTTTACTTGAAGATTTCTAAGATTGCTGTATACCAAGTACCAACTTTTTACATTGTCTCACTCTGCTCAAACATACTACACTTATTTACATTTTATTAATGTTTATATTTTTGTATGCACATTATATATTTTAGATGTTAGATGTTTATCCTTTATTTATTTAAAAATCCATATTTGACTTTTTTCATTTAATTTGAAAAAGGTTTGAAAAATATTTCAATTTTGTGATTGCATATCTTTTTGTTTTACCACTAAATGAAATATAATTCAAAAATCATTACAATATTTCGATACTATATTCATAATTAACAAAATAAATGCACAGTGGTTTTGAGATTGTAATTTTGAATGTTTGTATTATTTTCTCAAATTAAAGTATATCAATAAAAAGGAGAGATGACCATTTATTCATAATTTTCCACATTTTGGTTAGAATGAAATGATGAATTTGAAACAAGACAATGGTCGGCTACAGAAACTGGTATCTACAAAGTCTCTTACTTCCTCTCAGAGTTCTCTACTTCTTAGAAATAGTGCTGATAATCTTGATAAAAGATTAAGTGCCTCAGAATGCTCAGGATCACCTGGTGTTGGTAAAAATTTGTTTTGGATATTTATTAACAAACCTAATATCAGTACCATTTTAAAACTTTGAAGGTAAAAAATGTCATTAGAAGCACAGGCTTACCATAATATTTGTATATTAAATAGCACTGAAATTCTGAAGAATAGGTTTAAGAGATTTATAATCCATGGAATCCATATATTTTAACCTGTTTTGATAAAACTCAGGCACATCTGTTCATATGGTAGCACTATTGTGCAAATCAAAAAGTCATTTTTAGCTTAAATCTGTTTTATATTTTAAAGGGTAATGGGTTTATTACAGGTAAAGAATGTAAATCATTATAGATAAGTCTTTTATGGTATTTTTTAATCTGTAACTATGGATAAGTTTAGAATTCCAGTTGTGATTGACATGACTTCAATACCTAATAAAAAATACGTACTTCTCTTAATTGTAAAAAAAATTAAAATCCATTTCCCTGTAACTCATATATTGAAAATAATTGAATCAAGTTTTTATTTGTTTTAATAAAATCTTGAGATCAAACACTACTTTATTTTATCTCACATGTAACTTCAAAAAATTCAAATAAAAGACAATATTTTTGATTAATGTTTCTTTTACCGCAAAGAATTTTGTTCCTACAGAATTATACCTCAGTGATGCCGTCAGTGATCGAGATGGTAAACATGTTACCATATCCGTATTCTTAGGATGTCATGGTGATTATAATAAATTCAAAACACATAATAAGGTAAGGTACTTTTTAATGTTTGTCAATGAATTTTTTTAAAATAATTTACGTATTTTCATGAAGCATTTAAATATAATTAGCTTTTTTGAGCTACAAAACCACTGTTGTAAAATAAGTAATTTTAATATTCATACAGATACAGTTTAACTTCTTAGTTGAAAATCTGTAATCGTCGAAATTGTTGTAATATGTTAAAACTCTTATTTGTGGATCAGAGTTAGTAGTCACTTCATTAAATAAAAAATGCTACTCCTTTCTTATGTGATGTTATTTAAACTTGTATTAATCATTGATGTCAGTGTTTTCCAAACTTTATGTAGTGGCATCCCCCAACTCAGCATTATTTTTCTCAGGGCCCCCATCCTTCTGAATAATTTTCACAAGTGATAATAACAGCAAATACAGTAGTTTCTTTTTTTAAGTCTTAGCAGGAAAATTTAGTGTTAAAAATTTATTTTTCGTTTTTTTCTGCTTCTTTCATTGTTATTTTTAGGTTCTCCTGGCAAAAGGTTGTCCCCCCCCCCCAGACACAGTTTGGAAAACACTGATCTATGTAAATTAAATTTTTACTTTATAGCAGATAACTCTTATTGTACCAGCTTAGTTGAAAATCAGTATTTGTTGAATCATATAACTGAGAGGGCTGTAATAAATGGTTATCACATATTTTTTATGCCATTTAAAAAAGTCCTGTGTCATTATTACAATCTTCTTTGTTTTTAGTGTAAGGAAACAAACTTTTATTTTATTCTCTTATGAAGAGAACATGCACAGTTTAAAGTATATACATTTTTAATAGACAAGCATAATTATATGCACAGAAATTACTGAAAAATAATTGGCAATGAAAATCATATATTAGAATATTATTTAAACTTGTTCTTTTGGCTGGGTTAATTAAGGCTGGTGGGATTTATAAGTAGGCCACATACTATTGACACTCATGTGTATGTAATAAGTCTGCAGGTAGTTGTTTAGACTTAATTACTAAGTTTGATTATTTTGTACAAGTTTTAAGCCTAATTTCTTTCTAGAACATCAATGAAGTTCTCATTGGAGCCTTCTCAGTCAGTGGGAAGACAAAGTGGGAATTAATGGACAGTGTTGTAAAACGAATTTTCAAGGTAACAGTTTTTTTATCTTTGAAACTTATGGATGGTTGTGTAAAATGTGTTAAGTGATATGAAAAAATGTTTTTGATTTAATATTTTAAAGTTAAATCACATTTTATAAAATCCAAACTGAATTTTTATTAGCTCTAATAATCTTCAAGGTACATGGTAATTAATTTACCATATTTGTTACAAATTATTACTGTGTTGTATGTCTAATTTTATTAAGAAATTTTTCATCTTTAAAAAAATATTTCTGAAAATCCTTAATTTGCACATGACTGCCAAGATGACTAACCCTTTCCAGATGGGTCATCAGTGAAAGGCCACGTTATCACGTTTGTTGACTCGTATTCAAAATTTTATTTAACTACTATTTCATGAATTTATGTCAGTAAGTTTGGTATCAATTGTAGATTATAATTAAAATTTTAGTATTATACATTATTCAATTTCTTAATTTAAAGGTAAATATGAAAATATATAAATATATATATTAATATTAATATATATATATATATATATTAATAAAACGCAGTTAAACATCAATTTTTATGTGTCACGTGGTATGTTGAATGCAGCATTGGTTCAAATTAAATGTTTGTGATGTCAAAATATTAAGTCTATAGTTTCGTACGAATTAGGAACTCAAATTACCAATATTGAAAAGCTAGAATATAAAATAAGAACCTCTTACCTTTTCTATTTGCTAAGATATCGCTCATGTACTAAATCAAACACAGTGGGCCCCTGCCCACATCTTTCCGTTTTTGGAAATGCTCTCTTATATACACTTCTATATATATGACATGAATATCCAATCAAAAGCTCAGAATGTCCCCCTTGTGGTTTTCTTAGCCATTTCAAATTGTTAGGACCCCATATCCTCCTTTCGAACCACAATTTCAAG